AGGGATACAGAGCGAGAGGTACAGGGAAGAGGGTAACCGGGTGGGTTCTGCACGCGGGGCAGGGACGTCGCAGGGATTGTAGTGACAGATCCGCCGTATCTGTCCCTATCTGCTCGAGGCATTAAATCCGTGCGACGCCAAGCGCTATGCCGCCACCAGAGGGGATCCGCTCAAATCGGTTAACATTTCGGTAACGCGGCGATTTCGAGTTTCAATTAAATGTAACGCCGTTGGCAGACGTACCGCGCCGATCAGGTCGCGCCAAGGCGGATTTTAAGACTGCAATTTCTCCGATTTCAACAAATTCAATCAGAGATGAAGAAAAATTCGTAACATGTTACTTTCAAAAGCGTCTATTTCTTTTCCAATATATTGTCAATTGCTTCTCATTTAATTGAGCCAATTATTTGTTTCTTTTCCAATTACACATATAATTAAAGTTATAAAGAAATACAAATCAATTTTGTAATTTCTTTTAGAAAAATGAACTCTTTTTAATTAAAATTATATTTTGTAAATTTAAAAATACATAACAATAAAAAACTTAAATGATGTCTTAGTAATAATAATTTAAACAAAAGAAATTGTTAAAAATAAATCATTAAAAAATTGTTCACAATTATCTTTCAATTATCTTTCAATAGCCAAAACGATGTAATTGATGTAAGTTAATTATTATTGATTAATAATATAATTTATGATTATTGTCTATAACATTCTATAATCGTTGATTGCAATGTGCTTTTACAAGCTTAAATAACTTTTCATAATATTTCAATTAAATGTCTCAATAAGGATAATAATTTACATCGCTAAAAGTTAATTAAGTTAATTATTTTTCGAAAATTTTCTATGCAACAATCAAGATCATTTTTGCCTGTCTCTTAATTTTTTGCAATATTTATGCTTTATCATAGATATTATGAAAGTTTATCATTTTATAATCATTTTATTATGTTATCATTTTATAATATCTATTGTAAATTTTTTTCAAAAAAATCCTATTATCGCATTAGTTTTTTTAATAATTTTCGGCAAATTTTACGAGTAGAATCTGTTACATCCTTAAAATTGATCGTATTGTCACATTGGTGATTCTGACATTCCTACCATAACGCGGAAGTCGCTCTACTCATTTACGCCACGTCACGAACATTAATCATCAGATACCAAGGAGGATCGATAACCTGTCAATATGCTCTCGTCAACAAGAGTGCAGATGGTAATTCCCTACGGATCAGAATAATCGAAACATGGAGCGATGACATTACTAATAGCATTTAATAATAACTGTAATACTTGAGGTGATCCTTGATTTTTTTAGCTTTTCGGATAAACTCGTAAACAATGTATTGTAACCATTAAAGCGGATAAAGTAAATAAAGTAAGAAGAAACATAAAAAAGCCATAAAATTCTATAATTTTCTATATTTTAAATATAGTATTATTTATAAATATTGAATAAATATTGCATTTCTTTAAAAAACCTATCAATAACCTGTCAATAAATTTTTGTATAGAAATATACAAAAACGAGGATGTTAAAAATGCACTGCGAAAACGACGTATTAATTGGATGTCCAATTAATTTCGTAAAAGTAAAATGTTTTTCTGACTTAATAAGATAGAAGGCTAACGACGAGGCGATGGCGTGGCTGAAGAATATCGTTAAACAGATTATATGGCGCATCGTATTTAATTTGGCGATTTTCTAGATTCTCAAGGTGCCAATACTTGTCTTTGCTTTATTTATCAACAAAAAGAAAAAAATAAGCTCGAGTCAACATTTAAGACCGTGCCGTTATCAATTGACGTTAGTGGATGTCGAGCGAGTTGGGCATTTACATCACATCTCGCAACGCCATCGCCGAGGCAATTAATTGTTATCGAGCATTAATCGAGGAAATCCGTATTTGATAGTGGCAGATGTTCCATGCGGCAGGAGCGAGAGACGAGAAGCAAGGATTGTCGGAGGTCAGAATGCGGCACCACGTGAATTTCCATGGCTCGTGAGCATAACAAGAAAAGGAGGTCACTTTTGTGGTGGCGCCATTGTAAACGACAAATTTGTATTAACAGCAGCGCACTGTCTATGTTCGTGAGTATTGTGACGAATTGTGTTTCTTTTTTTGTATACAAAAATTGCAAATTCTTAATATTGACGCGATGGTTCGAAAGCTAATTTTTAAATTTTAAACACATAAAAAATGTTTAAACCTCCCATTAATATTTATATTAAACAAGATTTTACATGAGAAGTTTAAACAGAAATTTTTCAAAATTGAAAGAAGTATACAACAAAGAATCTAAGTCTTATGTATAATTAGTTATGTATAATTATTTCAATTTTGTATTTTTGATACACATATTCTTAATTTCTGTATATATATTTTTATTTTTGTAAAAAATAAACGTGCTAAAAAAAACTAAAAACTAAAAGCTAAAAAATTATATAAATAAGAATATATTATTGGCATAAATCTAAAATACAATATAGTTCGTTCTTAATTTTGCTTGTATTCCTGTAACAAATTTTCAAAAGATGCATCTTCATTAACGAAGTACATAGTCTGTAAAGACTAAGTCCTTTACAAAGTAGGCTTTAATTTCAACGGTCGATCTAAAACTTACAATTTCTTGACAACTTTTAATAGGATGCTCGTATATTAAATCTCGTTAAATCCGCCGGAGGCTTGATTATTATCTGAAAGGTTATCTATGTATAAAATATTCCATTTGATTTTATCGAAAATTATTACATTTCAGTTTTGTCAATTTTTTACTTAATAATGATAGATTTTATTTTTAAAGTTTAATTGATAAGACGTTTAATATTAAAATTGAAAACTTGTAATAAATGATAGTAATTTTTGACATGATAATTAAAGAAAAAATTACGATTTCTTTAAATTAATGAAAGAAGAATTATTCTAATATTTATATTAAAAATTCCAATTTTAATAATTCCATATTTATATTTAATAATTTCATATCTATGTTTCCATATCGATTTTCAATATTGTTTTGAAATTTTTTAATTCAGATTTCAAAATATTAACAGTTATTCAAATTTATAATTGCGGTAGATATGTGCAAGTCTATTTCATTTGCAAACTATCCAGCTTCTAAAAAAAATTGTATACAGCGAAAAATAAATCATGTCTTCAAAGAGAAAAGAACTTGATATGCACGTATAAAAATGATGAAATGATGAAACGTAAAGTCACTGCAAAATTTAACCAAAGTTACAGAAATATTCTTCTGCTGTTATTGCTAATTAATCAATAAATATATATCGCTTCTAATAATAATAATAATAATAATAATAATAATAATAATAATAATAATAATAATAATAATAATAATAATAATAATAATAATAATAATAATAATAATAATAATAATAATAATAATAATAATAATAATAATAATAATAATAATAATAATAATAATAATAATAATAATAATAATAATAATAATAATTTAGGATAGACAGATAGATAAAAATGATTTCTGTCATTGATAATGATTTCTAGTTTTACCTTCGGACAATACTAGTCAAAGTAAGCGAACGAGATTTAAATAAATCGTCTTTTTTAGAAGGCGCATTATAAATAAATCACTATCACTGCGCGGCAGACGAGTTGCACGGCTACAGTAGCGATATATGCGGGACAGCTTTCGTGTAGATATAATTAAACGGGCGAACAGAGCCATAGCTGGGTGGGCAACAAAACGTGCAGATATTGCGTATCCCTTTCGGTCACTGAACAGATTACAGAGGGACGGGATGGAGAGGGCGATAGGGGCTGTTCGGGGGCGACGAGCAGCCGTAGAGAGAATTCAGCGTCGAGCTTTGGCGTTGTAAACCATGATTGCGTGTAGATTACAGACCACTCAGTAATTGCTAGCGGCCATGCAAAACGCATGGAAAACGTTGCAACAAGATGCGAGGAGGAGGGAAGGGGAAAGGAGAGGGAGGCGTGAAAATGAAGGTGACCGTGTTCACTATCGTCTCACTTTACCCCCCCCATCCCTTTCTCCCTTTAGTTTTTCTCACCGCTTGGTATCATTTACGCGCAAAAACGGACAACCCGACGCTCACCAGTGATATCTAACGCCTCGCTGCGTCAAATTTATAGCGACTGGATCCCTCGTTACCGTGTATCGAAGAAAAAAAAATTGGGATAAAATTCATTGCAGCTTCCTCTTGGCATTTTTAGTGATTCCAATTAATATAAGCGCAACAGTGGATGATCGGTTTAAAAATATTGTTATATAATCTAAGATTTTTATTAAGTAAAAAATATTATTTTCATCCTATAATTATTTGTTTCGATATGTTACAGAATTAAAATTTTCAAATAACTTGTGAATTGCTAGAAAATTGAGTTATTAAAATTATTAAAATATTAAAATTAGTTAAATTATTAAAATTATATTTAAAGAAAATATAATAATAATTGAATATATTTTACCAAATAACGTATAAAAGGTCTTCGATATAAAGTAAGATTTATATTTAAACATGACTTATAGCTGCACGAATAGAAAATAGAATTCGCTAGATTAGCAAATGATTAAACAAATTATAACACGTTGCCCTATCGAACTGGTGACACGGCAGCCAATTACTATTAATACAATACGTGCGCTGTGAATAATATGGTTGATTAATTGTCAGGCAAGCAGATATGAATTATGTCTCTATAGTGATACAAGAACTGGCAGCCTAGCAACGCAGCATCGATATTTCTCGTTCGACAATATCCCACGGTAAATTAATGTTCAGCAATACCTTATTACTAATGTCATTCTGCATGCAACTCTGCATTGCGTAATTCACGGACGCATTCGTGTACCGATATAGTAGTGCCAAGAGGGCCGCACGATTTAACGAGCCGGACCGAAATTAATTTCAATTGATTTCCCGATTCAGCATCCAATTAATTTTTAACGAAGACGCCAATAAAAAATAATTCTATTATAGTTCCGGATAGCAAATATTATTCACACAATAAGAAGAGAATGCAACTGGAACGGTGTTGACTGAACAATTTAATTAAGTCTTATCTTAATTTATTTTAATAGATTGGAAAATCTACGTTTAATCCTATCTTTTGCTGCACTTGTTTTTTAAATGAATGAAAAAATAATATGGCATTTAAAAATTAATAAATTAGAATATCTGTACTTTCTATGTTTTTTGAAAATATATTACTTTTGAATATATATTTCATACATAAATTTATGTGTGTACATATGCATGTATGTATGTATATATTGCTGAAACTAAATTAATAATAAAATTTTATTTAATCATGATGATCGAACAAATATTAGAATAAAATAATTATATATACATATATATATATATATATATATATATATATATATTTTTTTATTATATA